CTGGGCTTGTCCAGGGTGGGAATGGTGGTGGTGGGGTCAATTGTGGGAAAAGAAAACTTATGTAAATATTAAGATAATAAAAAAATAATAATCATGCTGAATGAAAGAACTAGACAAAAAGCACATTAAAACCCAAATATGTTAGTGATCAAAAATGGAAATAACAAGTTACTAAATTCAAAGTTTACCAGTCACTGGAGAGCACATCGATGATAGAAAATTATTAGTGACCTGGAGGTCAAACCAGGGGATTTTATTTCTATTTTCAAAGGTTGGTGAGAAATGGCAAGTTGATTTAAACAGAGTCTCCTTGATTATTAATTAACTCATGTGATCAGATATAAATGTTCATCTTTCCAAATCAGTTCACCAGCAGAGCACTCGTTCTTTTTCCCCAATTTTAAACAAGAAGAGTAGAATGAATACTATAATATAATGAACTCCCATGCTCCCGTTCTTCAGCTTCAACAATTGCCAGCTCATTGCCTATCTTGTTTCATGTATATATACCCCCACCCACCCTCTGTGCCCCCAGTCCCAGCATCTGGCCATTTCACCTGGAAGTATCTGTTTGTATTTCTACAAGAAACAAATTACTTCCAGTCTTTGTTTTAAATTTCTAATAACTCAGAACCAGTCCTGGCAACTTCATCTGAAAGTCTTGGCGGGGTTTAGAAAGAATGTGGGACTCTCTTCTCTCACACATTGATAAAGGAGAAGGGTTTACCTGCCAAGAAATTTCTCTTAAGCGGGGGGGGGGGGGGGGGGGGGGAGGCTTATCTTCTCTGTTTACAAAAAAAAAGTTGGTTTTCTGAAGCGAGTGGCGGTGATATCCTTTCAGGCTCTGCGTGGAAGTCCCAGGGGCCATGGTGTAACACAACCGACCGTTATCCAGGAAAGGAATGTGCGTTTTCAGATGGAAATGTGAAATTCTAGAATCTGGTCCCTGTGCGCAGGCGGCTCGAAGGGGCATCCGCACTCGCTGAAGGAGGCCACCTGATACGGGAAACCGCGGGCCAGATGTTGTGCTCCTGTGAGTGCTTCTAGGACACGGGCTCTCTGGAGATGTTTTCACGAGACACTGGGATTCTTTGTTCTTCAAAACCTTCAAATCTCTCAGCTTCCTTTTTTTTTTTTTTCTGCTGTGGAACCATTTCTCTTCTCAGATGCAATAACTGTGCTGAAGTTGCTGCCAAGGGAAATACTGCATTGCATCCAAAGCCTTTCTAGTGAGGAAGAAGTAACGTTTTGAAAGCAGAAATTTAGGGATCCTGCTCTTTCCCTCCCTTTTTTTTTTTTTTTTTTTTTTGTGTGTGTGTGTGTGTGTGTATACACATTTAGGTACATGTGCATGCACTTCGGGAAAGAGACCACTTAAATCATAGGCCAAGTGAAATGTGTTCAAAGTTGATGGAGCACTCAAAGGTGATCAGAATTGAACTGTCACCGGTTAATTCCAACCCCAACATCCTCGGTTGGGATTCTGGAGCTTGCTCTTGACAGAGCTGATGGTTAAAATGTCAGAAATTTTGCAAGTTGGTTACTGATTACATTAAAAATTAAATCATATAAACTCACACTTAAGTATTAAAAACAAAAGTTAAAACAACACACAAAGGTAATACTCAAAATTTGTCATGTTTCGATTCGTTAACGATCATCGTCGCCCTTCAGGTGATTTCCATTTATTGAATCTCTATGATGAACATACTGCTGGATCGCCTTTTCCCAGCTCTGCATTTAGTGGCATCACAGCGGAGCTGGAACATGGCTGTGGTGCGAGTATTCACACCTGCCGTCGCTCCTGCAACAGCATTCTAAAACCCAGGCCCCGGCCCTGCTGCTTCTCGCTCCCGCGCTGGGTTGCACTTTGGGAAGAATGCCTGCCGTTGTGATGGTAGCCTAAGGCGCCCTGGAGAGGCTTCAGGTGTTTAGCATCTGATGCTCAGATGGGAGAGCTACAGGGCCCTTTGCACACGCATTTGGAACAAATTAGCTTTTACTTATTTATACACTAAAGTTTGGGATCTTTGCCATAAAAAAATAAAACAAACATAGCAAATCTATAGGATCAAGTCCACCACATGGTCTTCTCTTGATACCCATAGGTCTACTATCCTTCCTTTCCTGCCCTGTTCAGTTAGGACTTCTATGGATGACACCAATCAGGGTCCCTGGCCTGCTAGGCTCCCAATGGTTTCAGCCAATGGGAGGCTCTGATAGAAAATAGGAGGCGGGACAAGAGACAGGTCAGGGTATTTATGCCTAGCTCCCTCCTGGCCAGGGTGTGGTTGGCATTGGCTATTGAGTGGCTCTTCTATAGGTATAGTTTCCTTTTTCTAATTACTGGTTCCTTCTCTTAGCCCTCTGCCCCTAGGGATGGTAAGTTTTCCCCTTCCGCGGACACCAGCCCAGGTGCTTTACCTGTTGTTGGTTTCCTGAACCCTGCCCCTGCCCCCTGTCCATAGCCCCTTTATTAAACTTTTCTCAGACCCCCTTTTGAGCAGGCTGGCTGTCTCCTCCTGGATTCTGACCCAGACCAAGCCTTTATTCTAGTGAGGCTTACAGGCCCCTTACCCTTCCTCATTGCACCCTTTCTCCTTACAGCTTGCCTCCATCACCTGAGACTGGTCAACGTTCCTCTCACACTCTCAGCCCTCCTCACCTATGTGCATCGCTTCTGCTGTGCCTTCGCTCCTCTGGGCCCTGATGCTCATACTGGCAGCAGGAGAGAAGTACCCCTTGGGTCTGGCATAATCCTGGTACAGAGCCGTTTTCTGGCTTCACATGATGGCTGACAGGCAATTATTTCCTTCAAATGGCATCCCTGTGCAGCAAGTCATTAGCGCATTTTCTTCCTTGGATGGAAACGTACCCAGGCACAGACAGCATGACGGAGGCCTCTGTGCTGGTGAGGAGAGTGGGAAATGCTTACCTCGCTTCTCCCACAGTCACCGGCTGGACTGGGCGCTCCACCAACACCAGGGCTGCTTCTAGGAAAAGAGCCCTGTTTGTTGGGTCAACAAAGAAGGTGAGGACAGGGCTGGCTTGTCACTGGCTTATCGACTCCCCAAACCCACCAGAGAAGGGGCCGGGGAGCCTCCAGATCCACCCTTTGACTTAAGGAAGCAGGGTTTGGAAATAACGGGAACCAAACCATTCCTATAAGTCAGGTCTCACCGTCTCAACTTCCGTTCAGAGCAGGACATTCAAGGGCAAACCATGTGCAGTCTCTGTACTTACCAGCCCAGGTTATTCTGATGGATGAAGACAATGCTTTCTGGGAAATTCTCCACGCACCACGGGGGCCTCACAGGTCAGGAACCAAATAGTCAAGATCTGTGCGGCACCGGTTGGGAGAGGAACCAGTTCGGCATCACCGAGGGGAGGGAGGGCTCCCAGGCTCTGGACTTGATCGCACCGGTGACACTGCCATTCAGAACCCGCGCTTCTCGGGTCGTGTTGGGTGGGCTGGGGCGGCTTTCTCCGGCCTGGAATGTACAGTCTCACTAACGGCAACTGCGTCCCCACGGGCGAGACTCAATTAAGCGGCGGCTCCTCCCGCGGGGCTGCGCATTAGGATCACCTGGGGAGCTCCCGCGGCAGGCCCCGCCCCCGGGGACCGCCTTTCATTGGTCTGGGGAAGGGCCTGGGCACTGGGACCTTTTACAAATGTCCTTGTGGGATTTTAATGTGCACGCGGGCTTGTCTGACCCCATCGGCCACTCCTGAAAAAGGACCCAGGAATCCTTGTCCTTGTCTGTGGGAGTTCACTGTTTAACCAGAGACACAGACAACTGTGCTGTTCAGGCAGAGACCCAGGGGACTGTGGGCTTCTCGGTGTCTAAGGCTGTGAGGTACATCACAGTCAAGTCCACAGCTAGCAGACTCCCCTGAACCCTCCCAGGGTTGGGGAGTGTGTGTGTGTGTGTATTCATTACCCTCTGGTGTGTGTTATGGTTATAGTCTAGAGCAGCGGTTGCCAACCCGTGGTCCACAGATCACTGGTGGTCCACGAGGTCCGAAAGGTTGGTGACCGCTGGTCCAACTCCGAAGCCTTGACCCAGAGCCAGGCAGGTGAAGCCCAGGAGAGAGGCTGACGATGGGGTGTCCTGATGCTGTGCTATGGGACTCACACCAGGGCTCTGGCCCCCTAAGCCTGAGGCCAGGCCTCTGCAGGCAGCTGCTTCCCACAAACCTAAAGGAAGGGCCCCCCCCCCCCCCCCCCCCCCCCCCGGAGGCTGAGTGCAGCCTCCAGCCCAGGTCAGAAGTGGGGGAGAATACGGCCCCTGGCGGCGTGCAGCATGGCTGGTTGTTTGGGTCTGCCCTCACCTAAGGGGTCTTCCCTAAAGCAGGAGGTGTGGAGGGTGCCTCTTCCTCCAGGAAGCCTTCCACGCAGGCCCTTGTGAGCTCCCTCTCATTTTACCAGGCTGCAGTGTGTCTGCCCTGGGGATGGAGCGTGTCTGCATCACTGCTGGGTCCTCGGTCTTCATCCTCTTGGCACAGTGCGTGTTGGTGGGCCGTACGGCCGAGTGGAAGTTGTGCCAGTCCTGCCCCGTCCCTCAGTCTCCATTGGCTGCTTCCGGCCTGGAGCCTGGCTAAGCCACACCCGAACCCTTCGGCAATCGGCACGGCTCCTTGGCGACGAGGTGCACTTCCAAAGTCACACCCAGCCCCACCATTGGGCCTACTGTGACATGGTGGTCTCACAGGGTTTGCCCTGCTGGGCCCTGTGTGCCCTGCAGAGCTGCCCTTCGGACACCACAGCCCTGGCCTCGGGAGCTTGCCCTGTTCTTCCACCAGCACAGCCAGCTTCCCATGGACCCGGGACCCGGGCACAGTTCTCCTCCAGGGCAGGCCTTTGCCAAATGGCTAGAGTTTGGGCTCAAGTGGGGACAAGACAGCAGAGACGAGAACAGCAGGGAGAAGGAATCACATTCCTGCCTCTGAGTGTCTGGGGAAGACCAGCCAGGTTGACAGAAGCATGAATAAACAGCGGGAGGACTGAATGACACACTTTATTAGAAACGTTCCTCATTCATCAGTCAAATTCACATTAAAGTGGGGGCGGCAGTGCCATCTGGGGCTCTGAGATTCCACTGCTGGGACAATTTCCAGTTAAAAAGGAGTCTGGGCAGGGAGCGTCGGAAACGCTCGCGAGATGTGCCCAGAGGAGGCGGTCTCAGCAGCAGCAGCATCCTTCCGGGAGGAGAAGGCCAGGCTTGGGGCAGGCGAAGAAGGTGCCTCCCACGTCCGCCCTTCCAGGTACAGGGCTGCCCCCGCGGGCCCCACGCTGATAAATAAACAGCACGTCACACACACACACCTTTGAAACAGACAAGCTCGTACAAGTCTCCTAAAGTGAAAAAATAATTTGCTCAGATAAAGCTTTGTGGCAACCGGGCTGCATCCTGAGTGGATGGTTGCCTAGAGACCCCTGGGCATCATCCACCAGGGGGTCGCAATGCCCCCAACCTCCCCATTAGCACCTTTGGACTAAGTAACTGCCCTCACTCCTCATACTCCTCTCTTACAATGCACCTGCTACGTAACATAATAATAAACACTCTGTCCCTGGGGTGAATTCGTGTGAGACTCAGCTTCCCTGAATAAGAGGTGCCTGGGGCAAAGGGGGGTGAGGGGTGCAGTGGGTGGGTGTGGGGCAGGAAGGCAGTTGACAGGGGTAAGTAAACGACTTTCAGAGGTAAGCCAGAAGGCGGCTAAACACTGCTCGGGCCACTTGCCAGCTCTGCCTCGGGGCATCCCTTTCCAAAGGGCAAAGTCCTAGCGTATCCGGCTGCCCTGCCAGGGGCGAGGGTCCGGAGGGGACGCAGTGGCTGCTGTCATCATTCATTATTCAGGGGCAGCTTCTCCCCCAGCTGGCCCTGTCTGTCTGCTCCGGGCACACCACAGAGAGTCTCCTGCCCCAATGTTTTATTCATTCTCTTGAATATGGAAACAGGCTCTCGGATCAATACGATCCGATCCGGTGGCTGCGGAGTCCAGCGGGCGGGCGGGCGGGCCGGCCTCCTCCCGGGGGGCTTGGCGGCTTCCAGGGCGGAGGCGGCGGGACTCGGGGAGAGCTGCTTCTCAGGCAGCAAATACTGTTGGCAACAGACATTCATTTTTCAAAGTCGGGAACGCGTAGTACTGGCCTTTCAGAGAACAAAGTTCTGGGGGGACCGGGGTGAGAAAGACGCCTTCCTGTGAATGTTCTGTGCGCCCGCGGAAGGGGCGGCCGGGCCCCGCGGCCCACGGCTGCCCACCAGCGCCCCCAGCGCCGCTCACTGGTACTGCAGGTAGCTTTTGAGAGCCGGAGGCAGAGGCAGGGAGCCGATGTCCTGCAGGCGCTGGCGGCCCAGGGCGAGGCGGATGGATCTCCGGCACAGGTCCATCAGCGGCAGGGGCTCGGCTGCAAGAGAGGGGAGCCGGTTAGAGTCTCGCCAGTGCCTTCTCGCACCTTCTCCCCACCGGTCCTCCCCACCTGCCCGCTGTGCACCGCCCACCTGCCCGCTGTGCACCGCCCACCTGCCCGCTCTGCACCACCCACCTGCCCGCCGGCCCATCTGTAAAGCGGAGCAACAGTTCGCAGGTTTGCGGCGGGGATGGAAGGAGGTGACCGGTGCACAGTGCCTCGCCCGGGCTACAGAATGAATGCAGTGGGAGCTCGGGAAGCGTCAGTCTCTGCTCTGGGTCTGTTGGCAGCGAGTACCACCCCGACCGGACGTGCCCTCTCCCTCCCATTCAGACAAACAGCAAGGATTTTTCCGTTTCATTCACTTAACGATGAGTTAGTGATTGTTAACTTCCTAAAGGATGTGACCCTGACTCATCTGTGCCAGGCCCCCGCTGAGCCTGTTGCCGGGATGACCCAGCCATCACCGGTTAAATAAATGGACTGACGACTTGCTGCTCCGGCCATCTCGCACCTTCTCCCAACCCGTCCTCCTTTGTGGTTATCTCCTCCGTGGCTGCTGGAAGCTACTGAAACAGATTGCTCTGACCGGCAGCTCTCATGCCCTGTAAGCTCACCGAGAACAGGGCATGTTTTAACGGTCGGGAGGCGTGTGGTGAGAGTTAAATGAGTTAGAAAGTGTAAAGAACTTAGCTCAGTGCTCAGCTCATGGGAGGTTCCGTAACCTCCAAGCCTGGCGTTTACTCTCTCCCTCAGGCCCAGGCCTTGGTTTGGTTGCCCTGGTGAGGCAGAGCTGGGGAGGACTGCTACAGGATAGACTCCGGCTGGCAGACAAGCAGTTCCTCTTCTGATGGGAGATGGGCTTGCATTTTATATCAGGGGAAGAAATTAAGCTGTTAAAGTTTGATAATCGTTGTCCGAGCTTAAAAGCTTTCTGCATCACGTTAATGCTCTAGGCACATCCTAGGTCCTCAGCGCCCCCCACCCCCACCCCCCAATGCGCAGCCTTATCAGCGCGCTCGGCTCCGTGTGTGTTCCCTGCCTAACGAGGAGCTGCATGGGAGGGAAGGTGGCCTTTTATCTTCACTCCTCCGCAATCACCGGAATCAATCCAGAGCCCAGACTCCAAAGGCAGAGAGCAAGGGGGGCTGCAGTTCAGAGCACCTCTTTAGCTCTCGGTGTGAAATATCAATCCCCGCTCCTAATTCCCATGACTGCAAGGCACGACCACCCTCAGTGCACAGAGAAAGCCCTGGCGCCGCTGAGGAGCTCCCAGCTTGGAGGAAGGCACCAGCATCGCCGGGCGCCCCTCCGGCTCCTCCGCCTCACCCACCGTGGCTTTGGAACTCCCCGGAGCTGTCAGATACCAAGGTTTAGAAATGGTGGGCGGAAGGGGCCACATGCTAATCCGACTGGCTCGGGGAAGGCCTGCCTGGCGGCCTTGCGGACTTAGAGACCTGAAGTACCACAAAGGAGGGTCTGAAATGAAAACTTTTAAAATTAAAAAGCAATGTATGGTGAGTGGTCATGTCCTTGGCCGGAGTTTCCCCTGATAAAGGTTAATCTTTACTTCAACTGGGCCTATTGTCTTTTTCTATCTATGGGAGCTTGGAATGTCAAAGTGATTTTCCTTTATCTGGGCCCCTCAAAAGCACAGGCACTGCTCTGTGGAGACCACAAATCCCCTCATTGTCATCTGTTAACTACCCTGCGCCCAGCTAAGTAAAAGAAGTGTCTACCATTTTTACTTTTTATCCAATCCCAGAGGTTTCCCCACTTTGCTTTCTCCCGCCTCCCTAAACCATCACCAGTGGATTTTGTGTAACCCACTTATGTCTCCTCTTTAGACTGTAATGTGAAAAACAAGGTGCTAAACTGCCAATCTCCGGAGCATTATCTCAGTCCACTGAGATTCTGCTTCCTGGCAATTGTCGACAGTCTGGCTCAGATAAACTCAGAAAAAAAATGCCTCACAGGTCTGAATGTTTCTTCCGTTAACAAAATGATCAACAAAGGGATGAGAGGCATTCTCAGAAAGCTTTCTGACTAAAGATAAAATTAAAAAAGAACCATTGTTTGCAAAAATGAATATCCAAATGGCCAATAAATATATGAAAATGCGTTCTACTTCCTGAGACATACAAATTAACGCTATACTGTGACTCTCCGAGATGCCAACCAGGATGGCTAAAAACTAGAACAAGACAATAGCAAGTGTTGGTGAGGATGTGGAGCAACAGGAATTCTCATAATGCTATGGATACACTGGCATACCCACTTGGGAAAACTGGAGGCATCTCCTAAAGCTGAACCCTATGGCCTGCAATTTTACTACCGGGTGTACACATGCTCACCCAAATGCACATACAAGGATACTCATGGAGGTAACCAACTGCAAACAACAACTTTACCATCCACCAACTGTGGGATGTCAACATAAATGTGTATCTTCACAGAGTCAAATACTAACCTGCCATGAAAATGAAGGAACCACAAATGCATGCAAAAATATGGACGAATCTCTCGCACTTAAGTATGAATGAAAGAAAAGTACATTTTGTGTGACTTTATCTGTACCAAGTCCAGACACACAGAGGGATGACGTCAGGCAGGGGTACGTGGGGAGAGCAGTGGCTGGAATGGGGCACGGCACCATGGAGCTCCTGAGGGGCTGGTATTGCTCCCCTTGATTTGATTCCTGCCTGTACCAGTGCATTCCATTTGTAAAAACCATCAAGCTTACTCACCTGAGATGAGTACACTTTCTGAATAAATGTCAAGAATAATTTCACAGCCGAAACCAGTTTGGCTCAGTGGATAGAGCATTGGCCTGCGGACTCAAGGGTCCCAGGTTCGATTCCGGTCAAGGGCATGTACCTTGGTTGAGGGTACATCCCCAGTAGGGGGTGTGCAGGAGGCAGCTGGTCGATGTCTCTCTCTTATCAATGTTTCTAACTCTCTATCTCTCTTCCTTCATCTCTGTAAAAAATCAATAAATATATATTTTTTAAAAAATTACTCATAAATTTCACCTTAAAAAAATATTTCACAGTAAAACACTGAGTCCCTGCGCCCAGAGCTTCGTTCAGCTCCCTGCCGGTTGAGTGTGGAAACAACACAAGCCAGGGAGGACAAGGTAGGAAGAGGGGGGCTGGCTTGGGGTCCTGGCTCCCGCTCCTACCACCAGTGGCCAGCGGGCTGGCTCCCTTTCCTGGAGCCACGTTCTCCTCCTCCGTGGAGTGGGGAGAGCTGAGGCCCCCATCGTGCATTGTGACGATGGCAAGACAGAGCATGCTCCTTCCCTGAAAGGCAGTCTCTTATTTCATGCCACGAGCCTAGGAAGTACATTTAAAAATAGTCATAATTTGCTTGTTGTGACTCACAGACGCCTCGGTACATCATGCTAATTGTTGACGATGCTATGCTCCGGTTGAAGATTTATTGGAGCCGGCGCTGGATGTCTGGTTCTGTGTTAAAAATATCACCAGGCGATCATTTCCAAAGTCCTCCGGTGTCCTGTATTTCCCATGATTCCCCATCACTACCCCTTGCACGGCCCCGAGGAAGCCCCGTTACTTCCCAGGGCTCTGTTGTGCAGGCGGTAAAACGGGGGCGTTGGCTGTCGCGCTGTGATGGTCGATGACTGTGACAGGAACGAGGAGATCTGGGCACAGGGTCTGAGTACTGGGACCGATAGCTTCGGCTGCTTCCCTGGGCCCCTCCTAGTCTCCTCTGCACGCAGTGGGGAGATCTAAGACACGAGTCCCCACCCTGTCTCCACCCCTGCGTTTATAGTTTGGAAAAAATATCAACATTTTAAGGTCAGGAGGTGCAATTCTTCTGCAACAGTTGAAGACAATGATCAGCAGGTAGAGGAAGGTTTGAGCAATGGCCCTGAAGTCGAAACTTAAGTAGACCGGGCACTGGTGTTGCTTTCAGGAAGAGAAACGAGAAGACACACATGTGGGCACGCACGCATACTCTATGGGTCAGACACATCGCTGGTCACTTATCCACAGCCCGTGGCTTCGGTGTCCGAGGACGGAATTGCCCGCTGGCCTCTGGGCCTCTCCTGCAGCTCCCTCGGCTGGAACTCCGGCCCTGCGCGGCCTGCCGGGCCTGCCTCCTCTTTCAGGACCCAAATCAAGTGCTTCCTCCTCCCCAGTGACTTGGCTCCTCTGCCCTCGGCCTGCACCTGGCAGGTGTCAAGCCACAAAGGTACCTACACAAACGGACACGTGTATCATTGTCCGCTCACCTCTCTGCTACAGCATCCCTGTGCCTGTTGGCCCTGGCGTGGCCAACAGAGACTCGGCTCACGCCTAGAAAGCATTCGGAGTTTTCCCTTAACAAGCCTCCCCATTTCCCGAGGAAAGAGGGTGGTGACGACAGGTGGGACACAGCAGCATCTTAGATGAATGCTGTGCCGACCGGCGTCATTGGCCCAGGTGGACCCCAGCGCCCAGGTGGGGCCTCATTTATCCCAGGGATTGAGAGTGAGCAAGTCAAGATCACACGGGGATCTCCAAAAGGGCAGAACCCAGGACAGGGATTGCTGGAAAATGCCCCCTGAACTGGGGGAGCTGTGCCCCTCCCACCCAGACTGTCCCTGAACCTACAGAAGAGATGTGTGTGCGTGTGCGTGTGTGTGTGTGCACGCGTGCGTGTGTGTGTGTGTGTGTGTGTGTGTGTGTGTGTGAAGGCCCTGAGAACGATGCTGTGAAGCAGAAAAGGCAGTTGGAGGGCTAGATGTCGGGATGGGACCGGAGGGTGGAGATACCGAGCAGAGGACAGGTAGCCCTACACCCCAGGGGTGAGCACGGCTCCCACCAAAGGGGCCCCGAGAAGCCCCAAGCTCCTGTAGCAAAGGCCGAGAAAGGGGAGAGTCAGTGGAACTGAGAGAAGGACGGTCGCTGAATGATGGGAAGATCCATTAGGCCTTGATGCTTGGAAGAGCCTCCTCACAGTGGCCTTCATTTCTCTAAAGCCCTCCTGCC